TCATCTCAGTTACAAGTTCTCTTTTCCACTGAACAAACATCTATCTGTAAACTAAATGCAATCTATAGGTTGTTTCTCTGGGAAACACTGCTGTTTAATTTATTGAATACAACATCACCTCCCCTTGGTTTGTCTTTTTATCCTCGGAAATTCTCTGGAAAATGATTAGGAAATGAGAAATTCCAGACCCATAAGCACCCAGTTCAATCTTGACCTCTTGCTGTAGTCATAAAGCACTCCTTGTAAAATGTGTTTAGTCAAAGAGTTAAATGATCTCAAAAAGGACATGGCCTTCTAAACTTCACATTTTTCTGAACATTTTGTTTATTTGTGTAGAAGCGATGCCATCACACCTCAGTCTGTGCTTGTCCAGAGTTGCTTGGTGTAGCGTATACCCCTTTGGTTAGCACTTGCAGTTACAAGTTTACAGCTTTACTTGACATTCCTACATCTCCTCACCAGCACACTAAAGCCTTGGTATCTGCATTGCTCAATATTATGGAGATCTCTAAGGGAGTCCGCCAAGGCTGGCCTGATGAGCTCCTGACTGCCTTCTGCAGATGCAGACCTTACTGCCTGATCTAAAGTTGGTTCTGAATGCCAAGACACTGCTCGTACAGGCTACATTCTTAAATATTTTAGACTACCATCTAGACTTTTTTATGTGCATGCAGCTGCTGCCACTTTTCTCTGCCTAGACTCTGTATCACAGCTCTCTACATTTCATATCCAACTCATTTTCCAGATCACCTCACTGTGTTCTTTATGATCTGGTTTCTTAGCCCTCATTAAGTAGAAAGAAACAGCAGCTCTAGTATGATTTTATTTACAAAGAAATACTGTATAAACCTCTTTCTTACTTGTGTCATTTTCTATGACTTAACATCACCAGTTATTAATTCTGTTATGGGTGCCCAGGATTTTCTCAGAACTCAGTAGAACAGCCTCCTCCTAGTTTGCATCCTGGTATCACCTTAAGAATAAACTACAGCTTCATGAGTTTGGGAGAGTTCAAAGCTCAGATCAAAAGATGTTCACATTTGCATTCTCATCTGTAAGGAAGTCTTTATTGATTCCCCACTGGGGGAAATTTACAGCATCCAAAAACATAGCAAGTACAAGAAAATAACAATAAGCACTCAAATTAAGTGTATCACAGGATCTTCATGCAATTGGATTTTTTTTTCTTTTTAATTACACAATGGGACAATTTACTTTTTACTGTTTCCAGAGTTTCATATAAGTTTCATTAATATTTTTAGACTGCATGCATTAGTAACAATAAACTGGTAAATAACACAGAAAATCGGGTCAATTTTATGTCAGGACAGCAAAATATTTTTGTGTTTAACATGAATCCAAATTATGTTGTTAAGTTTTATATATTTATAAAGGGGTTCATTTTACTGAGTAAGAACTGACCACACGTGCTGTTAATTGAGCTCATACACTGAATATAGGAGATGGACATAGTGACTGTGATGTCACCTATTGGTGTGTTCATGACTGTTTTGAAGCATCAAGGCTAAAATCTGGCCGTTGCCATCTTTTAACATAAAAGAATCAGTGGATCTGACTAAGAACTCCAAAAAACAAAAAGCTGATAGTGACCTATTAATCACAAGGTAACTCTGCTCTAAAACATTGCCTTATTGTCTATTTTACTCTAAACCGGGCCATAATTTACAACTTAAATAACGTGCTGTATTGAAGGACACTTAAAATTACAGATTAAAACTTAATAGGAAAATGCTTACTGAGGTAAAAATCAAGTTGGAAGTAGGGTCATTTTCTTACTGACTTTAATACAATTAAACTTCTTTTTGCAACCTAAGGAGTCGCCCCCTGCTGGTCAGTAGAAATAAGGCAGGTTCAAGGTACTTCAGCATTAGCTACATGTTCAAGCATCTTGTATATTCAGTCTGTGATTGATCCTGATGAAATTAGTCTATATCAGCTTTATGAATCTAAGTACAAAAAGAACTAACAAATCTAAACTTAAAATTAACAAAAATGTGTCAAGCTCACATGTCATGGGTTTTTGTTTTTATGACAATTTTCCAGTTCCAAATGACTCCACAGTAATATTTGGCTTCATGGATAAATTGGGTTTTACATTGTGATGTGTCAGTGCATATAGCTGGAGGACCGGATAAAAGAAAATACATTACAAAAATACATTAATTGGTCTTAAAATATCGTCGAAGTTGTGCTTTCGTTGCAATAAAACACGACAAGTATTTCGGTGGATAAAACGTTGAGCAGGGAAAATGAAACCGCTCCTGCATTTATTCGGTGCAGTTTCAATGAGAGCCCGGCTATCTTTTGAAGAAAGGCCCTCCTCACAATTACACTTCACACCTGGAAACTGGCCAAAACAACCACAACCTGATCTGCTGGTCAATGAGCGGCTCCATTGAAGCAGTGGGCTGGTGGCTGGGTGGGGTTAAAGGACTCGCTGAAAGGCACCTCAGTGCTGGTAATGAGAGAGAAACCAGCACGCATATTTACTTTCAGTAGATTTATTACCCAGCTTATTGTGCTAATTGGGTGCTAAAAAAAAGACAAATAAATCACTTTCATTTGATTGTACAAGCATTTCCAACCACAGACTGGTTGCATTAGTAACCAGTCTGTGGTTATTATTATTATAATTATATTCTTCTTCTTCTTCTTTTTTATTTATCTTCTTCATCATCATCTTCTTCTTCTTCTTCACCCAGCTGCTCCTCTTTGGGGTCACCACAGCAGATCATTCATTTTTATCTCATCCTGTCCTCGTTATCTTCCTCCATCACACCAGTCACCTACAGTCATATCTCACCACATCCATAAACCTCTTTGGCCTTTCCTCTTCAGCATCCATTTCCAAATATACCCAGCATGTTCTCAGTGCATCTCCAAACTAACTCAGTCTCTCCAGTCGCTCTGGTCGTATTCTCGGGTTCAAGTGTGGCTGCTTTGTAACTTCAATATTTTCGACAGTATTGGCACACAGAGTTTGCCCCGCAACCGCCTGCAGCCCAGCTCAGTAACACCTTGGCTTTTCATCTGGGCAGCAGGCTAATTGAAACTGCAACCTAGTCACACTATGAGGATTTCATGACTTATTAAGCCCCGTGATTAAGTGGAAGACGCTGCAGATTACATGGATTTCCTTCAGTGAAGTCCTTCATGGCTCAAAGTGATTTCTTTGCCATATGCCAGGCATCTGCTGCAGAAAATTACAAGAAAATAGAAATGAAATGGGGGGTGATTATGGTGTCTCCCTCACAGCCGGCAGAGATTGGATCTCAGCAGTTACAAACCAAATCTTAAACTAACCTGATGAATAGGCAGAGCTGTGTGTTTAACTACAGTCAGTGAGTAAACCTGATAAACACGACATAGAGGGAAATATTTCTGTGTGCAGGAATGTGACTGCTAGAGGGCGCCAGCTATCTTTAGAACTCAGCCGAAGCTGCCTGGAGCACTGCATTGGGAACACGCTGCATTGCCTAACCAGCAGCACCAAAGTAAAGATCTGGAAATCAAGCATTTTTATTTGAGCACTGAAAACAGAAATAATATAGATTTGAGAGAAATAAATAATTAGTTAGCACTTCGATAATCTCAACACATACAAGGCTGAAGTTGTAAACAAAAGTACGTACAGCCACATAGCCAAGACATGGGTCATCAGTACAAAATCAGCACTTTATATCCTCATTTATGAGCTGGGCTAAAAAATCCCTAAATGCTAAAAAAGAGACTGCATAGAATAATGCTCATACAACTCCTCTTAATGCACCACTACACACACGTCAAAGTTTCCCTGAGGTTAAAGTTCTAGGTCTGCATTACACACTGCAATGCAGCGTGCTGCTGCCTCTGGTTTAATGGTAATGGGTTATTTTGTGCTCAGGCCGCCTCCAGGCAGCTCCTGTATGATGGAACAATTTGGCATTTCTTCAATTATTAGTCACAGCATAGTGATAAATATTACTTGCAAATTTGGCATTTGGCATTACATAAGTGTGTGTTTTAGTTTAGCATTAATTTAAAGATGCACAAATCAATATATTTATATCAACAATAGATCAAATGACAATCTGCCACATGACAGGTGAGACCTGTGGTGATACAAAAAGATTACCTGTGGTTTTATGCCGTTTCATTCAGTTCTACTGAG